ATAAAAACCATTTTCCGAAATTTCTGTTTTTTCCGGATATCTCTGGATATACTCGGAAATTCAGAACTTTCTCAAAGGCATATTGTTAGTCAGGTTAATGCGCAACTTTGCCCCAATTCAACCATCTTCGTATCTCTCATATAATTTCCGAGATCCCAATGGTTAGGATCGAATTTGAAACACTCTGTATACATTACACCCAATAAAAAATTACGTTGTCTGATTGATTGAACCTCACTGTGGTAATTCAAGAATTTACTATGTTGTAGGAGATCATCATAAAAATAATAAATAAAACTTGTACTGCAGTTCCGTTCAATAAGGATATTCAATAAACTGAAATGATTAACAATGTAAACCCTTATGTACCTATACAACCACTCTAGGTGGTACTTAATGACTTCATTACACGAATTTTGTTTACTTGTGACAATATGTGCTTATCTGAAAGCCGGCAAGTTTAAAACAGATTAATATGGTCATTTAGCAGGTCACATTCGCAGTGCTTGTGTTTATGAATTTCAAATAATTGAGTTTCCAACCGTTGCCGGCATAGTGCAAAATTTTCGTATCGTTTGGATTCGGGAACTTGTAGTATATTCTAAGAAATGGTTTGAAAAAGTCGAATCATTTTTACCTAGTCTAAAGGACCTTTCATGTTGAGCACACTATTTTGAGAAATATTGGCCACATTTACCCACATAAACACTATTACACTAAGGACACTTAAGTTTATAAACTCTTGATTTCTCCATTTTCGTTCACCTCATCTTTGGCATTGAAAAGAAAATTAGATAATCTGGCATGTGGCCTGGAATGTCAATTCCTTGGTTGCTGAATTGATACAAAACTAAAAAATGTTGGGCTGCAACATGAGTGTCAAAGTCCATTTCCTTCACTCACATCTGGACTACTTTCCCGAAATTGTAGGGGCTGTAAGTGAGGAACAAGGAGAACAGTTCCATCAAGACATAAAAGAAATGGAACGCAGATACCAAGGTCGGTGGAATGTTAACATGATGGCAGATTACTGTTGGATGGGAAAATTCACAAGAACACAGCCGAAAAAGTACCAAAAGAAGCTTCGACGGAAAAAGAAAACGTTTTTACAAAGATTTATGATAATTTTACAAACACTTGTATATCACTATTATGCTTATTTTATATTTTAGCTATGTACCATTTTTTTTGCTTTTATTTCATGTAAAAATAATAAATCCACAATTCCTCACTTTTTTGTAATTTTTCAATTATTTCATCCTTATTTTGTAGGCAAACCTTACGTAATAGATAAAAACAAATGCCATTTTTGAAATCAGCGCAAAAAATTACCATAAAGATCAATTAACGAAATCAAAAAAATTTGTTTTAAAGTTTTTTTTGCAGACCTGTGTTAGCTGTGAGTAGTTCAGTTAACGATTTCCAGTCCAGTCGGTTGGTCCTATAACACTCACTAACTTTGATTGCTTCTGATCTGATTGAATTGAAATTACTTGATTTTTATCGTCAAGGAAGATTTTTTAGGATTTTATTGAAATGTATCACGAGAATGACTACTGAACTGCACGAATCTGCGCGAACATGAATTGGGTATCCAAATATAGAACATGACGAAAGATGATACATCAGATGTAATGCTGAGTTGTTTCAAAAGTTTGGTCCGTTATAATATCATGTGTTTTTGTAGTTATATATCTCAACACATATCTATTTTGAAAGTGTAGTGGTGTCTAAGTAGAACCGTGGAATGGTGAAAGAATTGGGCGTCAGCTCACATGCGGTTTATGATGGTTCAAAACGAACTGGAAAAGTCAAAGAGTTGGAAAAGATGGTGCTCCCCAATTAAAACTATTAACAAAATTTATACGTTTCGAGGTCTGTTCTTCTTTGCTTTTATGGAACTGAATCGATCCATTTTTGGATCAAAATAAAAAGTGGATCCTCTTTCTCAACAGGACATGTTCAGGACAGTGGTTGGACACCGAAGAGACACCTAGGCACTTTTCAAAAGCGCTTTCAAAAAAAGTCATGGTTAATATATGGTGGTAAGCGGCTGGTGTGGTTCACTATAAATTTCTGCAACCGGATAAAATCATCACATCAGAGTCATATTGTGAAAAAATCGACCACCTCACCAAAAAATCAGTAAACCACCAGCCCCTTGGCTGACTTACACCATCAAGGAAATTATTGCTCTTAGAGACCGTTCCATCAAAAAATTTAAGCGAACTCCTTCTCCTACTGCTTGGAATAGTTATAAAGATCTCAGGAATTACACAACCGGAGCCATTCGTCGTGAGAAAAAAGCATACCTCGATTTTATTCTTGCGAAGAAAAATTCAAAAGCAACTTGGAACATATTGAGATCACTAGAAATTTTGAGAAAAAGTAACAATACAGAAATCCCGAATAACTTGAAGGACGCGAACCTAATTAACATAAACTTCAGTTCAATTCCCCAACCTGAGCGTTCAAACTACCAAATTTCATTATTAGAACCGTTTTCCTTCAGTTATTAATGAACCTTTTCTTTTCAGTGCGGTCTCGTCTACAGTTATACAGAAATGCCTGAATCGTCTCAAAAGTAACGCAGTTGGCTCAGATAATATCTCACTCCTAATGATCTATCTCTTAGATAGTCATCTATTGGATCCGTTAACTTTTCTCGCTAATGCCATTTTAACAAAGGGTGTTTTCCCCTAATGCCATTTTAACAAAGGGTGTTTTCCCAAGTTGTTGGAAGAACGGTGCGATTATTCCTTTAGCTAAGCGCAACTCCCCTTCGGATTTCTCTGACCTGAGACCTATCATCATCCAACCTTGGCTTTCAAAAGTTGTTGAGATGATCATGAAGGACCAAATTTGCAGCTTCATAAATGATCGCCAAATCATCACACCCGTGCAGTCCGGTTCCAGACCTCAATACAGCACAATCACAGCTTTACTTTCCATCACCGAAGACCTCTTCAAAGCGGTCGATGAAAGTAAATTAACTTATTTAATACTTCTGGACTACAGTAAATCCTTCGACACTCTTGATTATGATATTCTGTGCGATAAACTCAGCTTCTTCGGTTTTTCTGTGGATGCGCCTTCTCTGGTTATAAATTACTTATCGAACCGAACTCAAAGAGTTATGGTGAACAGTATCAGCTCAGAGACTCTGCCTGTAACTGAAGGTGTTCCTCAAGGATCAATTCTTGGTCCTTTACTATTCAGTCTGTATATTTGTGACTTCCATCAGTCGGTAGAAAAATGCAAAATTTATCATTACGCAGATGATACTCGACTGTACTTCTCCTTTCAGTTCCATGACATTGGTTCCGCTCAAAACATCATTAATCGTGATCTACAGACCATCTTTGATATTTCATCAGCTCATATATTGAAGTTAAACCCCAAAAAGTCAGCAGTAATGATCTTTGGACCGAAAAGATTGTGAGATATTGCTAAAAATAGTCTTCATATGCATATAAATGGTGACGTTCTGCCTTTTGTAACTGAAGCAAAGAACCTAGGCCTGTGGCTCGATTCTCAACTGCGCTTTACAAAACACGTTAGTCATTTGATTCAAACGTCTTTCAATATATTAAGGCAACTGTTTCCAAATTGGGACTTACTCACCAAACAACTCAAACTTAAATTATGTGAGGCGCTAATAATTTCGAAAGTTTCATATTTCAATAGCATTTACGGCCCTGCATTACTTCAATCTGATTCCCTCCGTCTTCAACGAATCTAAAACAGTTGCCTTGGTTTTTTTTTGGCATTCAAAAATACGACCACATATCAACGGTCATGAAGGAATCAGGTTGGTTACAACTAGAGAAACTCAGGAAACTGCACCTACTCATTAACACCCACAAAGTCTTGAAGACCGGAATGCCACATTATTTAATGGAAAAATTGAATTCTTTCTCTAATATTAACAGCTTTTCCACTAGAAACAGGTCGGTGGTGGTCATTCCTGAACACAGGTGTTCTGTTTTTACTCGCAGCTTCTCATACAACGCAGCTAAATTCTACAATCTCCTGCCCAGTGAATTCAGACCCTACACGTTAAAAACTTTAAAAAGAGACTCAAAGAGCATTTATTTGATTAGTTCACTTTCCTCATGCTGACCTTGGCTCATGCGTTTACACAAAAGATTTGGTGACTGAATAATATATTTTTTTTGAAATTGTTTGTAAGTACTGTTATTTTCATTTATTCATTTCAAATTTCATTTTTTTCTCGAAGGTTGAGTTTAAAAACAGCTTTGCTGACACTCCGCCCATTCACTTCAATATTTTTTTGTATATTCTGTATGTTCTTACTTCAGGTGAGTGAAGACGTTTCATTATTATCATTATTATTAATTGTACCGAAAATTGATTGGCAGTAGTCGGCACTGGTCAACAGAAGAGGTCCGATCCTGCTCAACGACAAAGCTTGTCCGCACGTTTCACAAATCACTGTTCGACAAAGCAAATGGAACGAATTGAACGTCGAAGTTCTGCCTTACCCAACATATTCTCCAGACCTCCCGCCAATCGACTACCATCTTTTAATAATTGAATAGAACTGGCCGATACTTGATGGAAATCTATATTAAAAAACTAATTAATACAGTTTTTGTATGATTTTCACTATAGAGGGTTTCACAAAAACCGCGACACGTGTTTCGCTATACAATAGCATCCTCAAGCATAAACTCTATAAAATTTCTTTTAAAGAACATCGATGTCTTTCTTACCGGAAGAACCTCCGCCAATCAAGACCAGGCAAAAACGGCCTGAGTCAAATTCATCGAACCCCAAACATACCATTTTTATGATGACAGAATTGATCGACTTGCGTTAAGTTGGCAAAAGTGCACTGATCCAAATGGCGCTCATTTTGAATAAACTGAATAAGTATTCACTGAGATATTACAGTTGGAACTTTTGAAACAACGCAATAAGTTGGTTTAATTGTTCACATCAGTGAAGATAATTCCTGGAAAAATAAGCAAACTCACCGTGTAATGCGCAACACATGGATAGTAAGTGGACAAGTTGAAACAGAGTCTGTGATTCACAACTGCTCTAGCTTTTGGATCTTTTGGATATAATGTGTCATCTTTTCCGTATTGTTCTGCCAGGTACTGGAGAATTGCGTTACTGAAAATAAAAAAATAATTATTACTTATCAAATCAAATGAAAATTTCCTTTTACTCGACATAATTTTGTAAGATATAGTCATCAATAATATTCAACGCGAAAAATATTGTGCTATTATGATTTGTCACATATGCCAATTCAATAGTTTTTCAAAAAATTGAAGAAGGTTACTAGAATTATAAAAAATCAAGAAAGAATAGTAAAAAGGTTTTCAATACTATAATAATATAACGAATTTGATTTTAATTGAATGGATTCTTATTTTACAAACGTCAGAAATGCTATGTTGTTTGTGCGTCTCAAAGTTTTGCAATCCTACATATCCTAAAAAATTAAAAGAAGTTATTGGAAATTTTTCCAGAATTGTTACCAAAATTGTTGATTTTTCATTGAAATCATATTGAAATAACTGTAACCAAATGGCTTGGCTCGTATTCAATCAAGGTTTGTCAAGAAACAATAATGAATATTTCGAACATGGAAATTGAATACTTGGAAAGTTATATTTTTCAAAACCCAACTACCAATGTTCGTTATCTTGTGTTGAACGTAATTTTGCGAGTTAGTAAAAACATAAACATTATTTGAACGTTTGGATTCGTTTTCAGGATAAAACGATAACAAACTCACCTTTCTCCCAATAGGAAACCATTGTCATCTAGGATTGGTAATGTCCGTGGATTTTTCTGTAAAAATAAATTATGATCATTTGTGATGAACTTACTGAACTGAACCATAATTTTTACAGTTCACAGAACGATAGTTCTTCAGACGTGTCTGTTGCTAGGTACCTGCAGACATCCCTAGGGTATAAATAAGGACAATATTGTATGTAATTTAGTTAATCTTTCTTTTGGAAATGATCACTCGGTGATTGAACCACGTGTCGAGGTGTTAAAAATAATGGTTTGGTGTTGGGATTAAACTCCAGTAATATTCATCTTCGAAGAAAATGAAGGTAAATGTAATAATGTCTATGAAGACTTCGAAACTAGAGTAAGCAAGCAAATTCAGCTAGATGATTGCACCAAATATGCTATTCGTAGGAAATTCAATTTGTTTTTTTTTTCTGAAATGGAATCCCAACCTCAGAAAAAGTCGCAGCCAAATTATGTTCCGATGAATTGATGCCCATATTTAATTATTGCTCATATTAAATAGAATGGACAATAAATTTACGAAGAAAGGTAAGAAAATTGCTCGTATAGAAAGAGAAGAAATTGTTTTGTGTTTGTGGTTGTGTGTTTTTTGGAGAACGGCTTGTTACCGTTGGAGTCCAAAAAAACTAGCGATTACCATGAGGAATTGGACTCGCAAAAGTTCGAAAGTTGGTTTTTAAAGATTTTACCAAACGTTAAACCAAACTTTGTTATCATCATGAACAATGCCTCCTACCACAGCAGAAAATGGAGCATTCACCAAAAAATGCCTGGCGAAAAGTTGATATCATCAACTCGAAAAATCAAGATAGATCACTTAAGGTTGATTTTACATAAATCAGAAGCAAAATTTTGTCAGAAAAAAAATTTTACATACGATTTGAGATACAGTTTTCTAGGAATGAATCCAAATCACCTGATGGTGATCGGTAACAATTTAATACAATAAAATAATTGTTATGTTTATCCTGAAAAAACCGGTGGCAAAATTCTGATTGCTCATCAATACAAAATTGTTTCAAATTATTAGTATCATTATGTTTTTAACCTATTTCCATCCATATTTCTATTACACTATCCTCTCTCCCTTGCATTGCGAGTATAATTACTGAGTAACACAAGACAGATTCAACTCACTCAGTCTGCATTTTCCGACAGTTCATTGGGACATATAATGTCATTGATCTCTAAAAGAATATCAGAGACTTTATCATTATTGATACTTTACACATTCAGCAACAACAGGTTTGGATCAAACGCTTCCTCTGGAGCTGGGAGTGCTTGCGAATATTTAGAAAATTGTTAATGAATGCATTTTTTTCTGACAGACTGCCAGATTGATTGCATTTTTAAAATTGTCCTGATAGATCTGAACCTTGAAAGAGGCATACTAGTCAGGATGACGAGATTTCATAGTTTCACAAAGTACATCCGAAAAGTGAGAATTCAGTAGGTTTTCCACAGCTATCACATTGGTGCAGGTCAACAAATTTGGGAATGCATTTGATAGTTCCAGCGAACTGAAGATGTCATGGTTTCTTTCTGTGTTTTTAAAAATCAATTGCACCATCAAGAGTGTCGATATATTTGGCAGCACTGGGAATATTGGCAGCACTATGCTCAGATAGATTGATGTTTTAATTTTCCATCAGAGTACGTGGTAATTGTTCTGGTGTTACTAGGGGAATTATAACACAACTGGCAACACCGCTCGAGGAAAAATGTTCGGCGAATGGGACACTTGTCTGTTTCGTTTTCAAGCATGGGCAATTTTTTCGGTAATTTTTGTGTAATATGCGGCGATTCAGTACAAATAATACATATTATCAATATTAATAACTTAACTATTTCTGATATCGCTAAATTAATATTGTTTGATGTCCAAAATTGACTTCTCAGTATTTCGCCAATTGAAACATTTGGGGTAGTTGAGCGTCTCTTACACACAAAAACCATGTAGGTTGAATTATGTTAGGTCCAAAGTGAGTGGGTCTATTCGAACCTCCACCGCAACACGCAAGGGTTTATTGTGGCTCACACCTACTCACACTCGATCAAATAAACCCGAATTCTTAACGAAGCCGATTAGTTTGTATGGTGAATGGTTTTTCAGGTCTGATTCGGTCCTCAGCGGGGTAGGCTCTGCTGCTCAATAAAATTCACCACTGAAAAGAACATGAATAAATCTGTTAAGTATTAGAATGAAATAAAATGCTTCCGGCTCACAACTATACATATATTCCTAATTCCAAAACCAAACCACAACTGAACTCCGTTTCCCACGAGTCGATAGCTCATGTAAAAAAATGTACAATAAAAACCTTTGTTTCTATACATGATCCGATATCTAACACTTTCCCCTTTTAACAATTGCAGTCGGAAACCAATACCATTAGATATGGGAACATCTAATAATTTCAAGAATATATACAGATATATACACATATATATACAAATGATACAATGAATATATTACAAACAATATCAATATGTCAATTCATCTGGAGGCCGAATCTGACTACGCCGTCTTAAAATTCTATCATTATTCAGATTTTATATATTCCCGGGTAACATCTAATATGTCAGCTGCCTCCGAAGATGAGGGAATTTCTTCAATTTTTTCTGAGATGGTAGAGCGAGGTATTATATTAATTTCCTTATCCTTCCCTTCCGTTTCAAAAGTCTTATTTGCTTTCAGTTGATTTTTGTGTCTTTTCCATTTTAAACCTCCCTCTACCTCTACAATATAAGTTCTACTTCCAATTTTCTTTAAAATTATTCCTTCACACCACGGTGACTTTCTCGGTCTGAAATCTCGCACCCAAACCTTTTCGAGTTCACTAAAAATAATATCCTTTTTATAACCATAATATTTTATTTGATAATCCTGTTTTTTTTTTAACCTCTCTTTCAACTGAAGGTAGCATTAAATCGAATCTGGTACGCATTTTTCGTCCCAATAGTAATTTAGACGGTGTCTTTCCGGTGGTAGTGTGTGGAGTATTTCTGTAGTAAAATGAAAAACAATTTATGATATGATTGATACTTCTTTCGTTATCTTCTTCTTTACCTTTGATTAGGGCTTTTTTCATTATTTTAACTGCTGATTCAGCCAACCCATTTGTGCCAGGGTGATATGGGGCTCCTGTAATATGCTTGATACCTTGTTTTCTCAAAAAAAAATTGAAATTCATGCGACAAAAATGATTGAGTATTATCAGTATAGAATTCCCTGGGTAGCCCAAATCTTGCGAAGACACTAGTAAGAATTTCTATGGTAGTTTTGGAAGACATTATATTTATTTGAAATCATTCGGTCCACTTGGAAGTGGCGTCCCCCAAAACTAAAAAGTGACTGTTGAAGATTGAACCAAAAAAATCTGCGTGCAACCTTGTCCACACTTCTTTGGGCCAATCCCAAGGCTTCAGTGATATTTTCGGGGGATTATTAGAAAATTTTGCACAAATTTTACAAGTCCTTGCCACTTCTTCAATGTTTGCGTCCATTGACGGCCACCATACATAGNTTTCCCAAGGTTATTACCAAGATTTTGGATACATCCGCGTATGCTATAAATGTGAAAATAAAAAACAATATTGAACTTTGTACGTTGACGGAAAATTTATTCTATGACACGGTAAGTTATGGTAAGGAAGATACAATCATCGTTATGTTCAATACAAAAAACGTAAGCAATAGTAAAACTTTACACTTGTTTCTGAAGAATATTTTAAGTCTTGGAAGGTTTTCAAATCTGATTATTGTCTCAGAATGTCTCACGACAAAAATATTAATAGACTAATCTTCAATCGAATAAAGGCATTTACACGCGCTAATAGAGATTGCTCCATACAAAAACAAAAAAACAGTAAATTTGAACTATTGGAGAAAATGAAGAGGATTTTTGAATGCATATCTCGTAATCAGCAAAATATTGTCGTGAAAACTGTAGTAACAACTGAAGTAGCTATCACTGAACCGATATATTCTTCTGCTACTGAGTCATCAAATTCTTTTTTAGACGAAGTTCCGATTCCCAGAACAGAGTATTGAATATTTACCCAACATCACGTGATATAGAGCATGATAATGATTACAATGTAAATAATCACGTAACATTTGTCTCTAACTCTAACACAGAAAGCTATGGGCGTAAAACTAATTCCAAAAATAAGTTCATTTGTTTCCCTCATCAAAACATTCAATGTATCAGCAACAAAATTGTACTTATATATGAGATATTTAATGGCTAAATGCTGAACAATTTTCAAATTGAAAAACTTTGACCTGTGTTCCTCCTATTCTAGGAGCACTAGGATACATGTGGGGGTTGCTATATATAAAAAAAAAACACTCTTGTCGAAAACATTTGTGAGTTGAACCTGTCCAACTTTTGTAAAGAGGGTACTCTAAAAGTTTGTGGAATGAAGTTAATCACTCGAAGCATAATTTGTATTGTTTTATATAGACCACCTGACGGCGACATTAAAAAATTTTTGTTATTATTTAATGGAATTCTGTCTATCATAAATAATGAAACAACAACGCTAGTTATTGGTGGAGATTTTAATATCAATTTCATGGTTGATAATACCAATTTAACACTATTGGAAGACTTGGTTTCCTCTTATGAAATTGATATTAGTTTAAGAATACTAACAAGAGTAAACGCAAAATCTTCGACATCTATCGATAATTTCTTAATTAAGACAAATTACCTCTACGCTGTAGCAGTAGTAGACCTAAATTTGCCTGAGCATTACTCACAATTTTCGAAAATTGCTTCCAATTCACAAAATGAAGCCAGAAATGAAACAGACAAAAACAATTTTTATCGTCGGGATCTGTGATGATAATATAATGAGATTTCGAAATTACTTACAGTGTGAAGACTGGAGCGAAGTATTTGTGCAGCAGTGTCCTAACTTGGCATATGATCTCTTTGCACAACTTCCAACTTATTATTTTGAAATATCTTTCCCATCAAGAAAGGTATCGACTGGACCATTGAGAAAGAAATCTAATTCAGAAATAGAGGTGTCTCCCGAGCTAGAACACCTAAAGAATAGAGTGTCAC